AATCGCTCTACCCTTCCCTCCCTATCTCCCAACTAGCTCGCCCAAACTCACAGATTCCTCTTTTTCAGTGATGTCATCACTAGCTCGAGAGGGTGCATGCAAGCAGGGCAAATATACCCTTGTTTTGCTAATTCTCAGTTTTGAGTTCCGAAAATGCACCCTGTGGGTCGAGCTGATGACGTGATGGCGTCAGGCAGATCACGCTGGACAAGCCGCGCATGCCTTATGCGCGAAAGAATCACGACCTGGGCTGTCATCAGTAAGATGAAGACGTGCTCCGCGCTCAGCCTCAGTGAAGAAGTCGCTCGCGTGGATAGAGGTGTGTGGTCACTGCTGAGATCGCGCCACTTTCTCATACCAAAAAGTATCACTACGTCGCAAGGCGTAAAGGATTTGATCAAATCCCACCAAAACTGTAAGGGTTCACCCACCGTTCACTATCTTACCTGCTTCGCAATGTTGATCTGCTATGCTTTCTAATCTCGAACCTCTGCGATTCACATCTTCTCGCATCTCCGTGGCCGCCTCATGAACTTCTTGGCTGAGTAGAGCAAGGAACCCCATATTCCCTATTTTATTTCCTATTTCTCATATTTTTTCATGATTCTTTCCTTTTTCTACACTTCTAGGGCGGAAGTGGTGCAGTGACAAGTGGCGCGCTCACCACGCGAGCGGTCCGGGATCAAATCCTGGGTCGTGAGTCGCCCGGGCCAACCAAGCCTTCCATCCCTCCGGGGTCGGTTAATTGGTACCAGACTTGTCTGGGAGGATAAAAACACTGACTTGAACATCGGCTGGCCCCCGCAAGTCATTGTATAGGCCACATCGCATTCAAACGCATCCCAAAAGGGATTGATCAACGGCAAATGCTTTATCCTTATCCTTTATCCTTTTCTACACTTCTGGTCTACCTCCCATCCCTAGTTTCAATTCCAGCGTGAGCTGACACTTCGACAATTCCTGCTCTTTTGCTAGGATTTTCCTTTTACGGAAGTCTGACAGCGGTTTTGCCTTTGCTATAAGCTAAGGAACTTGAATGGGTAATAATTTCAAAATTGATTGGGTAAAAGCAAAATGCAGCGGAGAAACATGAGGTGGAACTATGATTTTGCGTCATAGGCAAAGCGGTGATTGGAAAGATAAAGGATAAAGGATAAAGCATTTGCCGTTGATCAATCCCTTTTGGGATGCGGCACGCATTCTACTTCCATTTGTACATTCGTAGTGGCGTTTGAATGCGATGTGGCCTATACAATGACTTGCGGGGGCCAGCCGATGTACAAGTCAGTGTTTTTATCCTCCCAGACAAGTCTGGTACCAATTAACCGACCCCGGAGGGATGGAAGGCTTGGTTGGCCCGGGCGACTCACGACCCAGGATTTGATCCCCGGACCGCTCGCGTGGTAAGCGTGCCACTTGTCCACTACACCACTTCCGCCCAAAATAAGGATAAAAAATTGTTGCTTTCTCAAACTGGATTTCCGTGTTAATATTCAGATTCGCGTTTATATGTGTCACAATTTGTCTGTAGAGCCTTTTTCAAAAACATCCCAGATTCAAGTTTTTGGGAAATTTGTAGGTGGAACTATAGATTATGCGTCGCAGTGTATATTGGGTTGTCCCATAACTTCTGGTCGAATTTCTACACTTGATTTCTTCAAGTTTTATCTTTCCTAAAAACAATTGATCAAAAATATAACCACCATCATAATCACTGATATGCATCCATTTGCTAGGGAACGAATGGATGCATTCCTCCCAGAACGAGTGAAGCTGTGAGATGAAAAGCTCGGAGAGGTCGTTTTTGGGGTGGTTGTATTTACTGACTTTTTCTCTCCTAGCTGCTGCTTCAGGGAGCTGGGGAGGTGATAGTACGATGGAGCAATGTCAGGGCTATACGATAGATGTGGTGTCGTGGTCCAGCCAGTTTCCTCGAAACGTGGCGAGTTATCTTTGCAATGTGACTTCAGGCGGTCCTTCGGAGAAAAGAGATTTGGGGTCATCAGAGTCTGTGCTTTCCCCACTTATTTTTGTTGTCGTCATTGATGCCAACGCTATAGGATAGGTGTGGTTCGTGATCCAGCGAGTTCCTCGAAACGTGGTAAGTCATCTTTGCAATGTGACTTCAGGCGGTCCTTCGGAGAAAAGAGATTTCGAGTCATCAGAGTCTGCGCTTTCCCCACTTCTTTTGTTGTCGTCATGGATGCCATCTCACGAGATCTTCAGAAACCGGCTCCATGGACGCTTCTCTATGCTGATGACGTGATGCTCGCCTGCGAAGACAAAAACGTACTCGAGCAACAAGCGCAAGCTTGGTGCCGATCGCCTAGCGATGTTCGGACTCAGGTTGAACGTTAAAAAGACTGAGTACTTGACAACCGACACGAGCGAGTGCGGTTCTATCAAAATAAATGGAATAGAGCTGACACGTACAACGACATTCAAGTACCTTGGATCAGCAATTGCGTCTGATGGCAGTATGAGTACTGAGGTGAACTCGCGTGTGAGTGCGGCTTGGTCCAAGTGGCGTTCTATGACGGGAGTTCTCTGTGACAAGAAAATCCCAGAACGCCTCAAATCGAAGATCTATAGAACAGTCATAAGACCAGTGGCATTGTACGGCGCTGAGTGCTGGCCAGCGACCAGGGAAGTTGAAGCTCGCCTCGGTGTAATGGAGACGAAGATGCTGCGCTGGACGGCTGGTGTCACGCGATTAGATCGCGTTCGGAACGATGTCATACGAGAACGCTTTGGTGTAGCTCCCATTGCTGATAAAATGCGCGAAGCTCGGCTGGCCACGTTCTTCGCGGAAATGATGACAGTGTTCGCAAGATCGGCCTCAACATAGACGTGCACGGAAAGCGGCCCAAGGGGCGCCCGAAACAGCGCTGGCTCGATACGTTGCACGCAGACTTGAAGTTGGTTAACATCCACCCCGACCAAGCATTTAATCGGGAAAAGTGGCGTCAGCACATCAGAAAAGCGGACCCCTCCACCAAGCGGGACAAACGCTTAAGGCAGTAACCACACATTGCGCCACACGAGGAGGACGCTCGAAACGAACGAATCTGCGCAAATGCGAAATGAATGAAATGCGTATCGATCCACAAAATGGGAGGAGCGTCGAATCGCGCATTCGAATCTGCGAATCCTTTTAAAAGAAATGAGTGTCTATCGATCGAGTCAATCGGAGATCGTTAGCATCGACAACGCGAAACGTCGGTGCGTAGCCAATCGCAGAGGAGGCGCGTGCGTATTCGAATGTACGCAACGCTTCGTCACGCAACGCGGTTTATAGGGTATTGATAAAATTTGTTGCGATTTTCATTTCATTAGTATCATTTCTGTCTCTGCTTCCCTTTTCGTTCGTTTGATTTGATATAGCGGTTCACTCGTTCTTGTCTGAAGATGGTTTGATTGTAATTTAACTCGCCGCTCAACCTACACGGGGAAAATGGTGGGCAAGTTTCTAGACAAATGTTTAGCGGCATCATTTCAATTTGAGGCTCACTCTGAGTTATCGATATCCATTTGAGCTCGAATGCTACTGAATCATAGTATAAAATTGTCTATTGGCCATTTCAAAGTCGATGGATGAGTGCAGAAAGGCATGAGGAGGTGAAAAGGGATGGAAATGACTGACAACTAGGGACCGAGTATTCAAACCTGTCATCAGTTGCGAATCTGGGAGGGCCACGTCTTGAATTTGTTAACAAACTTGAAAGGGCGGTGGAGCGTGTATTGGTTGCTTTGTTTGCGCCCAAGTATAACTGTATGAGTATATCAACGGTATGTACTGTACTCGTGTGTTTCTCATTTAGCGTTTTAGCAGTAGGGCGTAATCTGAGAACTGCGTTGCGATTGAGCGACCATTTAGTATCTGCCGACAAGAAAACGGTGCTATGTGAGGGAAGGTGGTGTAGCGGTAGGAGTGGAGGGGTTTGCCGACTTTCTACATTGCTTACTCACAGGAAAGCTTACCATAGCTAGACTGCGGAGAAGCTCCTCCCTAAGACTAAGCCCTATCCTTTTCCTCGAGTCCCTTCTACGCAAAAAAGTGGCTCCCCCCCACGCCTCACAGAGCACCGAGAACACTAATGATGTGCATCTCGTTGAAATGCAATCTTACAGAAATTACCTGCTCAGCTAAGCAGAGCCCCGTAGAGTCGAGAGTAGGGTTGAGTCTTTCCTTTCGTATTACCAAATAGTTTAGCTTACTGCCAAAATTTGAATTTTGGTTTTTCTTTGGTTGATTTTTTCTACCATCTGCTATCGCTTTTTCTGTCCATGGTTGATGCAAGAGAGTGGTCGTGCAACGACTGAAAGGAGTGGGAGAGGGAATAGTCGAAATTATCGAACTTCTTTTTTTGCTTGCTCTTTGCAGGACTTACGATTCACTCAAAAAATACTAGATAACATTCGGCTAACGCAGAATTAACGTTGAAATTGAGAAATCTCCACGTTCAACTACAATCTCCGAATTCAGGCGGACGTCATGGCGAATAGAGCTCCGTTCCGATCTCTCCCTATTGACCTCGTTGAGATGGAGAGAAGTGTCTGGGATCCTTTTTGCGAGGACTTCCGCTTGAACGAGAGGAAGAGAAACGCATAGGATCGCGTGATAAGAGGGATGCAGTCGAAAGGATTTGATTGTAGCCGTATGTCGTTGTGAAGTAATGGTGCGGTACTTCCGAAGCTCAGCACACTTATTTTACTGGGCGAGCTTAGAAGTGTGTGGAAAAATTTGAAGAATTTGTGGAAAAAGAAGAATAAAGCCACCACGGGATTAGCAACGTCGCGCAAATGGGTCTTCAATGATGCATTAAAGTTCCTAGAGAAGCAAGAGCGTACAGGGTTGGTTGTACATGGCCCATCATCAAAACTCATCTAATTATTGATTTTCAGCCGTAAATACTCAAATGTGGATTCGAAGGTAACTTTCTTAAAATTCCCTTCGCTCGAGTTGGAGAGCAACTCGAATCTCTCCCACCAAGTCCAATATGCCCGGAGAAGCCTCGGAAAGGGAATGGTGGGTAGTCTACGAGAGAGATGCCATCGGCGGTAGGTATTGTTGAAGATTTGCGTATCCATTTAGACCCGGTGAAGATGATAAAAGATGCCACCGAACGCGGTCAAGAGCCACGTGGAGGGAATCAGTAAGAATCCAGGAACTGAACTGAAAGACGAGTACATTCATTTCGGTAAAGCAGATCTTCTTTAACAGTCATTTATGCCGGTCAATTTCTTTCTGTTGAAGATGTTTCGTTGCTCCTCATTTGAAGAGCATTGAGCGGTCAGAGCTGACGGCAAGATGCAAATGATGTCCTTGGTTCTCTTGAATGATGCTTCTGTAGTGCTCAATTTTGGTGAAGAAGAAAGATTATGCTTCAGCTCAGACACGGACAAAGCTCCAATCAGTAAGTGGCAATTTACATTGAAACAGACTCAATGTTATTGAAGATTCGGTTCAGTTTTGAGTTATCATGAGCTCGGACCATCAGTGACGGGTCCATAAATGCCATCATAATGGATCCGTATTTGCTCTCTTGCCATAGCTAAAGACTCAAGTTCTCGTTCATTGACTTCTTGTCGCTCCTCGACTCCTTGAAGTGGATCAGGATGCGAAGTCTCAGCAGGAAATCTGATCACTCCCTCCAACACATCCTGCCTCCGTGGCAATGAATTGTGCAGTAAATGAAACATATAAAGTTATTGTCCATCAACTAGAGGGTGTACGAAATTGAGCAACGGTGCGCATTCTCACCAGCAGCGCGATTACAACTCTCACAGCATCCTCAGGCTCTAGCTGAATTGCATTTTGCAACATGGTGAAGCGTTTGCATAGTATGCCAAACGTAACTCCACCATCCGTCAAGCGCTAAATCCTTGAATTGAGAAGAGAAAGATTCATGAGGAATGGGGGTCCTTACCCACTATGTATGACATCAAATCGCATTTTACTCGGCGTATCGCGAACGACTGCGGATACGGCCGTACATACGGCACCCCTGTGCAAACCCACAGTCTACCAGAATATGGTATTGCACAGGTTCCACACCTTCCAACTCTCGTGTAGGTGGGAACACGTCATCCCTCATAGCGAAGAAAGATTGAAACAGCTGTGTTGTGTGATACGTCTTCACACGACTCACAAACTACCTTTATGTCAGAATTGTTGAAAACACCCATGTCTTCCGCTCGCCCTACTCCCGTGGTGCTAACATTAGTATGCGGTACTCACAGTCCACCAGGGCGAGAAGAATGATGGAGAAGTCGTTTTGTAATTAAAGTACACACTTCCTGAGTGGGCAGGCTTCTGCAATGACTTCCATCACGTTATCGGAAAATCGTAGGATTTCGGAACCCACCCGAATCTTCACATGCTTCCTATCCACGGACGAGGACAGTCATATCTCTGTTGTGTTTTAATAGCCGTCTCCTCTACAGGTCTTCGTGTGATGGGAGGGAGCGCCGCTTCAAACACTTCTAGTATGCAGTGCGATTAGAATTCCATCGACTTCCATTCTCGTGTTACTTTACCTTACTTTACCTTCATTAACCTCCATTCATTGGCATCGGCTACTTCGTACACTCTCTTACTTACAGTGGATTTGCCGCAATGCCCTTCCTGTGCTATTGAACCGAACCCATGCCCGTGTCCGACAAACCTTAACTCCTTAGTTCGAAGCAACTGGAGCAACTTTGCTCGTGAATAAGTGTCACCCCAGAAAAATGAAGAGTCGCTCATAAAGCCCTTCAAACTCCGATGGCGTAAATCTGGTATACTGTGTGGAATCTTGTGGGGTTGCACACCACCAGGTATTCGTCAAAAGTGCGTAAACGTGAACCCAGAAAAGGGCCTGCTTTCTTCGCACGTACTCCCTGTGTCGCTCTACTCGGCGATGCTGCTCGTGTGCATCCTCCACACCTCGCAATAGCTCCAACAACTCGGAACTTTGACGCTCTTTCATGTTTCAACTGCACCAGAAACTTTTACGATCATTCCAACAGTCCCATTTACAGGTCGTTACACCACTGCTACTGTAGGACGCAAGTAGGCTAGAAAAAGGGTGCTTTCACTTCGTTTGTTGTTTCTCAGCCATAAATAAGTAGAATTTGATAAATTTGGATACAAGGTCTTCAACCGACACATTTTTCAGCTGGAAATAGTTTGTTCTTCGAACTAAACAGCTATTAATTAAAGTTTTTGGGAAGAGTTCCGAATTGCATAGAATTCACTTCTTGCGGCACTCTTGTGGATCGAAATTAATTGTCATTCTTGCTGGTAACTCAACTACCACTTGAGTATTCCACAGGTTTGTATACTTCCATTATCATGTGCATTCTTGCTTCTAGCATTGTTCAATTTCTTAGAGTGTTGCGACGCGAAGCTTTCCCCACCCGCATAGTAGTGGCGTGGATATAACGTAGTTCACATAAACCAGTGGAACCCAATACATCTTATTTGTGAGTACCAAGACTGATATTCTCTCCCTCAGTGTAAGTCCACCCAGTAAATTGTGCTCTTCTGCCACTGATTAATTCGGCGTCCACTATTACCAAGATTCATTGTCCGTTCAAGATTGCTCTCTTTTATTCAGGAAGTCACCGCTGACCATGTGACCGAGCTAGATTCGGAAGATGCAGAACAACAGTACGCCGAGGAGTAATGATCCACCACGATGCGAGATTTTTACTGTGTCTACGCAAAATGCACCATACTTGCATAGCTAATCTGCATGCATTACTAATCAACATCCGTTGAAATAAAAACTTTGTTGCGGTTTTTATCGTAGTGATTTTTTTGGATACATACACAACAACCACGATCAAAACGTGAGACTTGTTTGTATTTTTTCTGCCTCTGTGAACTTTCTCTTTGGACTTCAAATGGCATACTTCTTGTGAATGGAATCACAAATGACAAAGTATTCAAAGATAAAAAATCAGCACACAGGTGGGATGGTTGTTCAACTCAGAGAATTTAGTAAACGATCGTGAGGACGAGTACAAGTATGCTCACTGCGCTGTATTTCGCTTTAAATGGCGAAAGAGAATTACGCTATTCGTATTACGAAGAATATCATTGCACTGAGTACAACTGTCCTCACTGATTAGGGAAGGGTGGTCATTTTTTGTCTTGAAGCCCTAAAAGTCTATGGAACGCAGCAACTGCTGCGAATTGAAATTGGGTCAGAACTGCACAGATATAAGGATACTAGAATCACTTTTTGGTTCTGGCGGTTTTGCGCCATAATGCTACTACCATATGATTTCTGCGAACGTGTGTTTAAAAGGCTGCGCAATGCCGCGTCATGAATATGACGTGTGCCTTAATATGGTTTGATCCCTCAGTCCTTTGGCACCAGTTCCCTGCAACTGTTCACAATTTTGTAGCTCGCGTCGAAATGCCATCATATTGGTAATCAGCGCTTTTTAACTATCCTTGTGGATAGTTTCTACAACAAACGAGTTAAATAAAGAAGGGGGGAGATCGTGTGATGGAACACTTCATATCCTATGAAATTATTGAAGTTGGTTCATTTCCCGTACGAAACTCGGATTGGATGTAAAAGCAAAAATGGCTACATCAAATAAGTAACAACGTAGCCTATGTTTCGGTTAGCATTAAGCAGCCGTCAACTGACAACTGATTATAAACCATCTACAAGAATAACAATATGAATTGAACACCGTAAACAATTAGAGGGAAACAATTATAATTAAAACAATTATGAAGTCTACAAGGAAATACCAGAAAACTGAACGTTTTGCGGTGTCTTTTTTGGATTTCGCTTCTGAAATGTTCACTAGCTGTCTTAGATCTCCCGCTACTTCGATGAGCGCAATCAATATACGCCAAAACCTTTTCGCTAGTTGAGCGTTGCCCTGCGTTTCGCATGTTGATGCACGCAAAAATCCTCCAGGGCGTGGTTTACTACGTCGACATACATATAAATCCTTTTCGCACCCGCGTTTGCGCGTGTGGAGATTCTCACCGGTCGATACGCATCCAATTCTTTTCGCAAATTCGAATATTAAATGACTTCGAAAACTGTGAGCATTGCCTGAGAATAGTACGAAGAAGACGGACAGGTGATCAAAGATTAGTGATGGGCGGCGTGTGAACGGAGACACGTGAACTTCAAATCTAGAATTCGGACTGGGCATTTCTACGGAGCCATAAAAGCGCATTTTGTGCAAGAGCGTGCGGTATCGGACTGGGATGACATAGTCTTTGTGACCTTGCCTTTATGTTCTACTGTCCAATCCATAATAAGGGACTCCGGTACAAAGTCCACGACAAGCAAGCAGCAGCAGTGACACTGAGACTCCAGGCGTAGGATTGTCAAGCGCATTTTGGAAGAGTCGCTAGCCTGGTGAGGAGCAGGAACGAGCATTAGTTCTGTATCCTTCAAGAACAGTGGGTTGAAGCAACGATTGCGATGCATTTTGGAGGGGTCCAGAGGGACGCTAGGGTGCTCAAGGCTACGCCAATGGTGAAACAAGCAGGGAAACCTGTCAAGAAAACGCACAGTAGAACACCTTAATTGTCCGTTCATTTTCAGATTTTTAGCTCATCATTTACGGTCATTTTCTTCTATCATTTTCCCTGTGATACCAGGAGTTTTGCGGAATAGCAGACGCATCGACACTAGAGCACAAAACCACTTCGTTGGTGATGTAAATTACGGAGTAATTTTAGTAAATGAGGTGAAAAAAGGAAATTCAGCAGCATGGCTGGATAGTCTCACATATAACTTCGGAAACTTGTAGTTGTCTCCTGTCATATTTCCGTAAATATAGAAGCAATCAGACCGATATGCCCAGAAATATCGATTCTCATTGTGAAAGAGACATTCTGAAATGGAAATTCGAGATGTAATTGGGACTGAAGGCGGTAATACGGCGCTGGTATTGATAATGGTGAGGGGTGCCTCTATGCTTTTGGAACACTCATCATAGTATGAACCTGTATGCAGGCCTATTTAGAAAAAAGAGGTCTGTTGTCCGAAGAGAGGACGTGCTGTTGAAATTCGTCGTGACGAATCGAACAAAGGAAAACATGTCTAAACGTATTACAAAATCTGAAGCCCTCAGCAAGATAAACACATAAAGGCGCCACTAGGGCTGAAAAAACTAATTCGGGCGGGATTGTAGAGAGTAAGTGGAAGCATGCTGCTGTGCTTGTTGAGGCTGCTTTAAAAGAAGAAACTAAACAAAACTCGATCTATCTGCCTAAACTTTTGGCGTTCCACAGGACGAAACAGTTCGGATAGTCATTATATAATACAAAGAAAGCATTCAAATATGTAGTGTAGAAGCGAATAACACGCTACACAATAAGTTGCAGTTTTACGTTTTGTTTCATATCTGCTGTTTGTGTAAGGCTTTGCAGATTTCACAAACGTTGACATGGGCGCTTATAGGGACATCCAAATGAGTGAGCCACTTACGGTGCTTGGAACTACGGCGAAGGGTCCTAGGAGAGGATTTGAGCAATTTTTTCTGGCAGTTCTGCTCTCTGAGCGTAGTCTTAGCGTCACCAACCAGCAGTTTTCGAATGCCCTCTTTGAATGTTCTCCCCCCTCCACGCCTCCCCTTACATGAGCGCCGTTGACATGCATTATGTTGTGAACTGCCAGCAAAAATCCCATAGTAATTAGCTTCTTCGACATTTCGTCAACAGCAAATGCCTTCTTCTCGGACAACAGACAAGAAGAAAACACCAGCAAACTAATACGACGTAGTTCCAAATATAATAGTCACAAGCTGCAAGAGGTCCTTCTCAGTGCTCCGCCGCAGGTCCCTTTGACTACGTAGGAATTAATGGCAGCTACGTATTGCAAAACGGAAAATGATATAAATAAACCAGTTTGGCATCTAACCACGTGCATGACACGGAAGGGCTTGGTAGAACTGGAGAGGCGGCGAACCGTCAGCCTACGTCGCTGAATAATAAGTTGCTTGTAAATCACGTTAGCTGCCGTTCCCATAGGTTGCCCATTTTTAAGCTCACCGTCTGATACGCGCGGTGGAGTGCGGAGCTAAAGTGGTGTCTGTAAACAGCCACCATGCATTGGATGTCAGGATGATTTAGCGGTCGAATAATATTGATGCCAATGATTTTGCAATAGAAATACCCATATCGTACATCCATCAAACATTCTTAGGGACTTCGGGGTGTAGCAGGTAGAAAGGTATTTTATGTTGACAACGGCAATGACAGCGCAAATGAGATGATATTGAAACAAAAAAAATAGAAAAATCAAAATTGAAATCTGGAATATGGTTTTCACTGATATCTGCGTCCCTGCGCACATCGAATAACGGTCCTTATCTGCCGTCATCGGTTTCTGTGCTCATGGATCATGTAATTGTCCCACCATCACTTCTGGGAACCAACGCCCCACTGTTGCTGGGACGCGCGCTATGAATTTCGTGAAATTTGCGTTCTGGCGCCTCTTATCAGCCCTTATCAGCCGTTATCACTTTCTGTCCCCCACCGAACATGTTCCCGTCCCACCCTGACATCACTTCTTGGAACCAACGCCCCACTGCTGCTGGGACGCGCGCTATGAATTCGTGAAATTCGCGTTCTCGTA